GTGCATGCCCAAAATCCTGAGAGAAAAACGGGGAAGAAGGGATTAGAGTGTGACCATCCCCCCTGGGGGGGCGACTTCTCACTTTCCCTCTCACTGTCTTTCTCTCTCTGGCAAGTGCACGCACCCTATGACAAAAACCTTTAAAAAAAAAAGGTCCATGTCATTTTTCTCTAATACCGTCTCTCAAACATAATTCTATTTTTCCAAATCCTGGTTTTCAAACATTTATTCTACTCACTATTTTTAGAGCCAAAAAGGACTTTGGAAAAGCAATTATTTTCAAAATATAATGATGAGATTTTGAAGTTAAAGACGTAGGAAGAATTGTAGAGTGCAAATTATACCAAATCTATAGTCAAAGAATCTGGATTTGGGACCAGCAGTTAGCATAATGGCTATGTTTCTGAACTCCCATGTAGCCCACCACAGTTCGAGTCCTGGACCCGGTGGCTTAAACTCACACCGGGCACATGTGCATGCATGCCCAAGATCCCGAGAGGAGAATGGAGGAGAAGGGATTGTGGCGTGGCCATCCCCCCTGGGGGGGTGATTTCTCGCTTTCTATCTCTCTGTCTCTCTGTCTGTCTTTCTGGCGAGCACACACACCCTATAGCAAAAACCTCCAAAAAAAAAAATAAATAAAAGAATCTGGATTTGACCTAGCCTAGCCATTTGCTATTACCTTTACTTTTTATTTTTAATTCACTTAACTTTTATGTAAAACATAGTAATGAAATCTCCATCACAGGGTTTCATTACCTAGACGAGTGAGATTCCTGTTAAACTGAGGGAGATATCTTATGTGAAAGGACCTAGGAAACAACAAAGTAACGTGTAGGTATTGCTTCAGCCAGATTTAGACAGGTTTCAGTACAAGTTGGCCCGAAAATTAGAGCGCAGCAAAGGATTGCAATGTTCCCATTCTCAGCTACTCGTGTAATTCTTCTTCCATCTGTTCTGTAATGCAGTACCCTGATGCTACGGAGGAGGACCTCGCCTCACACCTGGAAAGCAAGGAGTTGGATGACGAACACAAGACCATCCCCATCGCCCGGGCCCTGCACGTGCCTTCTGATTGGGACAGCCATGGGAAGGGCAGTCAGGAAACAAGCCAGCTGGATGACCACAGTGTGGAAACCCACAGCGGCGAACAGGCCAAGCGCTATAAGCAGAAGGCCAGCGTGGAGAGCAACGAGCACTCGGACGTGATCGAGAGTCAGGAAAGTGCCAAAGTCAGCCATGAGTTCCACAGCCGTGAATTTCTTAGTCATGAAGACAAGCTAGTCCTAAACTCTAAGAGTCAGGAAGAGGATAAACACCTGAAATTTCGTGTTTCTCATGAGTTAGATAGTGCGTCTTCTGAGGTCAATTAAGAAGAGGAAAAAAACATGTAAGTTTTTACTTTGCTTTTAGTAAGAAGAAAAAGATCCAGTATAGCTGGGTGAGAGAGAATATCAAGTATATCTCTCAGCTTAGTGGATGAATGTATATGGATGCTGATCAGTAGATTTAGTTTGTGGTTTTGTGGTCACACCCTTGTAAACTAAAAGCTTAGAGTGTTGTCTGTGTTCTTTCCGTAGGTAGAATGCAAAAGATCATTGCGTTTTTGTTTGTTCGTTCTTTTATGAATAGAAATGTATGTAGAAACAAAATACTTTTACACACTTAAAAGAGAGAGTATAACATTTTGTGTCACTATAATCTTTTGTTTTTTTTTAATCAGTATATATTTTGTTGTGATTATTTTTGTTGATGTGAATAAATCTTGTATCTCAAAAATTGTGTCTGATGGCGTCAGTTCCTTTTCTTATTTGGTTTCCTGTGATTCTCCAGGAAATTGTAAAATTGTAGCCATTTCAATGATTGTCCTGGCTTAATAGAAAACAGTCTAGAGCCTGCAAAGTCAGCTCTACAGTTCTAGTTGAGCTAGTTTGTTGTCAGTAAAACAGGAGCTGGCCTGGTTGTCATGACACAGAGGCAATGCTAGCATCCTGCAGGACCAGAGTCATATGGCAACCACAGGTTGGATCCCGGGTTAGTCTGGAAAATAAGCCGGGCAGTGCCCAGCACTGCAAGGAGCTGGAGGGAAGGAGATCTCGTCATGAAAAGACCGCATTAAGAGTGTTCATTTTCTCTCTGATCAAACTAAAAACTAATAATAATAATAAATTAAAAATTAAATAAATCTTTTTTTCTAAAAGTCATGAGCTGGGCACCAGCAAGTGGCATGGTAATTAAGAGCACTGGACTCCCACGTGGCTAAGCGCTGTTCGAGTCCAGTGCAGCTTGCTTTCTCACTTTCTCTCTCTCTCTCTCTCTCTCTCTCTCTCTCTCTCTCTTTCTCTATCCCTCTCTGGTCAAATTAAAATAAATAATTTATTAAAGTAAAAGAATTTTAATTTAATTTTGAAAAAATTAAATAAAAAATTTTAAAAGTCATGAGGTAGAGAATAGGAAAATAGTAGAAACAAATAAGTCAGATGCTAGTGCTTTGTTTAAGAAATCAACAAAATACATTAATTAAGCTAATACAGGGGGAAATGTAGAAAAGTAGAAAACACAAGGGTTTAAAAGTGAAGCTATAATCGATGAAACTAAGCAAATTGTAAAAATCAAAAGAAACCGCTTTGCACGGTTCTATACAAATCAAATGGAAAACCTAAATAAATGGAAAAATTTTCCTGTAAAATAAAATATACCAAATCAAAGTAATTTAAATTGTAACAGAAGACAAAAAGAAGGAAAACTCTCAAATTATTTCAATGAAAGTATAGCTTTGACACCCAAACCTGAAAAAGATTGCAAAAGCACAAATATACATTCACACAAAACTCCAGACTAGTCTCACTTGTTACTAGCAAAGGAAAAATCCTAACTATAATATCAGCAAATAGGATCCAAGAGCAAGTTTGACCATCAATCATAATCAAGAAGGTTTATTCCAAGACAATGATGCTTGAATATTACTGAATTCATTCTTACAATTTATCATATTTCTAGATCTAAGGAGAAAAATGTCATATGATTAGATCCATTGATGTTGGAAAGGAGTTTGTATTAGTCAGCTCTTGCTGTGGAAATGATGAGTAACAAACATTCCCAACATCTCAGTGGCTTACAAATTTAAATATTTACTTTGCTCACCAACCTGTATGGGTTGGCCAGGGTGGTTGTACTTAAAGCTGCAGGATGGATTCAGGTCACCATATATCTCTCAATCTGTGATCAGCAGTTAACCAGGGCATGTTTTTCTGATGGTAGAGGAGTGACCAGAAAGGTACAATGCGTTGGCTCAAAACCAACACATTCATACTTTTAACCAAATTCAATTGTTCAAAGCATGGTTAAACCCAATATTGATAGGCTAATGAAATATAATCCCCCACAGTGAATAATGATAAAGGAAGGGAAAAAAATTGCCAGTAAATAATAAACTGTAAGATAGCCTGGGACAAGTTTCAACATTTATCCTTGGTTTCATGAAATAAAGTAAAATAAAATAAAATGTAAGAAACATTTCTTTAACATGGTGAAATATTTTTTTTTTGCTTTTTTTTTAAGCATCAATTATTTATTTTTATTTTTTTCATACATTTTTTTCTTTATTTACATTCATTCACTGTACATCATTATAGCATACAAAATGAGATCCTAAAAGCAAGCATCAACTTTCTTTTTTTTATTTTTTTTTCCTGCTAGAAGGATAGAGAGAGAGGAAAAGGGAGACAACACCCCCCAGTGGGGCATGGGCATGCACATTCCTTTCTCCACTTCTCCATCCTGTCAGGATTTGGGGCACACATATACCCAGCATGTTTTCAAACTGCTGGGGCTGCAATTGAAACTACATGGTTAGGCATGTAGGATCCATTTTCCTTAACTATCAGGCCACGGGGCTGGTCCAAGGATCATCCTTAATGAGAAACATTTGAGAAAACAGAGCATCAATACTGAAAATAACAATAAATTCTGTAAGATAGTAGGATATAAAATGTACATGAAACATCAGTTTAAAATTCAAACAGTAACCCTTTTGAAGATATATGTCACTTTATACAAAAACAGAAAAAAGGATAAAATACCTGATAGAAAATGGGTAAAACTATGTTAGAAACCTGTAAAAGACTTCTGAAAGCCAAAAAAGAAGACTTGAACAACTGGAAAAACATTATTTGTTTTTGTATAAGTCTATTCAATACCATAAAGATATCAATTCTCCCCCAGTAATATATAAATGAAATATGATTACAACAAAAGTAAAAGTAAGCTTTTTTCCCTGAAGCTCTGCAAGCTAATTCCGAAGATCATATGGAAAAATAAGCATTTAAGACTATGAAGGAAAAGTCTGAAAAGGAAAAAAAAAAAGACTAGTCCTAACAAATACTAGAACATAATATGAAGCTTCTCTAATAAAAACACTGTGGGGGGACCAGCAGATGGCATAATGGTTACATCACTAGACTCCCACATAGTCAACTGCAGTTCGAGTCCTAGACCTGGCAGCTTAAAACTCATGCTGGGTGCGTGTGTATGAGTTGTGTATGAGTGCCCAAAATCCCAAGAGGAGAATGGAGGAGCAAGGATTACAATGTGACCATCCTCCACTTAGGGGTGATTTCTTGCTTTCTGTCTCTCTGTTTCTGTCTCTCCAGTGAGTGAACATGCCCTATAGCAAAAATCTCTGTAAAGAAACAACAACAACAAAAATATTGGGTGAGCAGCAGACAGTGTAATGGTTACATCACCCGACTCCCATGAAATCAACCGTGGTTCAAGTCCTGGACCTGGCAGCTTAAAACTCATGCTGGGTGCATGTGTATGAGTGCCCAAAATCCCAAGAGGAGAATGGAGGAGCAGGGATTACAATGTAGCCATCCTCTTGGGGATGATTTCTCACTTTCTGTCTCTCTGTCTCTCTCTGTCTTTCTGGCGAGCACACATGCCTTATAGCAAAAACCTCTAAAAAAAAAAAAAATCAGGGAACTGGCACATGAATAGACAGATCAGCGGAAGAGAACAGTGAGTCCGGAAACATGAGAGCCAAGTACATACTGAAATCACTGTATGAAAAAGGTGGTATCTAAAATCACTTGGGAAAGATGGACTCTTATCTCTCTGTTTATTTTAGCTTCCTGTAGGACACGTGCACTCACAAGAGAGAGTGAGAGAGCGAGAAATCAGCCCCTAGAGGATATTGCACTGCAGTCCCTTCTCCTTCATTCTCCCCCCAGGATTTTGGGTGAGCGCGCACGCACATGCACCCAGAGTGATTTTCCAGCCATGAGGTTCAAGACTAACCACACATAGGTCATATGAAATCCAGCTGCCTGAACCTCCGCACCACCTGCGTGCGGGCCCAAAGACGGACTTTCAAATAAATGATATTGCATGCCTAGCTCTCCCTTTGGACATGCATGACAAAACAGAATTCATATCTCTCACCATTATCAAAATACTCTCCAAATAAACCAGAGATCTAAATGTAAAAGGAAACTGTCTATAAAAATACTAGGCAAATACCTGAATGAACCACTTAGAGCTGGGTGTGGGAAATGGTTTCCTAACCACAAGAAGAACATGGTACAGGCCTTGTAGACATCGTGCACAGTGGTCTCTTGGGCTCTCAAGAGAGTTTCTTCTCCTAGCACTTCACCACAGTCAACCGCAGGAGTCAGCCGGATTAACTGAGTGGTCCCCACATGCTGTAAAATACTGCACAGACATCCCATTTAGCACTGTACTCAAAGCCAAGGGCAGGACTCAAAGCCAAGGGGTGCTGAAATCGTATCTTTGAACCATGGTACCAGCAAAGACCATTTCCCGTACCACCTTTCTATCCGTCAGGGTTCATTCAGAAGACAGGAAACACATCAGTAATTTGAACAGAGAAATTTTAACATAAAGAATTATTAACTAACAACAGGAAGTTAACCAGAGAGGATGAGAGGACTTTAAGAATACTGGGGGCCGGTGCAGGGACAGGGCAGGGGGAGGGGGGTGGCGGTGGTGCCAGGGTTGCATAGTGGTTAAGGCGCTGGATTCCCACATGGCTGACTGCAGTTTGAGTCCCAGACTCCAGGAGCTTGACAATCACACCAGATGTGTGTGCCCCAAATCCCAGGAGAAGGGGTTGCAGCATGGCCATGCCCCCAGAATACCACAGAGAGGGGCCAGCATGTGGTGAGGTTGTTAAGGTACCGACTTCCATATGGTTGACCGTGTTTTGAGTCCCAGACCTGGCAGCTTGCCAGGCACTGTCTCGGTTTCTCTCTGGTAAGCACACTGGCCCTATGGCAAAAACCTGAAATGAAAAAACTAAAGAATACCATAGGGTGGGAGTACCCAAATAAGGAAAAAGAAGGGCACTCTTCCAAAGCTGAGGTTCAGACTGCACTGGAAAGGATGCAGCTGCAGCCCAGGGTACAGAGGAGCCTGCGCACTGTCCCGGGTCAGAGCTGATCCACAGCTGGGGCGCCAGCAGATCCAGCCTGGGAGCAGGAACCTGGGGAGCAAGACCACCAGGAGCAGGAAACCGGCTAGAGACTGCGAGAAACCGGTGGACGTTCTGAGCCCCAGCACTGGCAGCCACGCCTTGGAAGCAAGGAGAGGGAGGACGTCGCCAGGAAAAGCGTGACAAGCCTGCTTCCTGTGGCGTCCCTGGAGTGCCCTCTACTGACAACACCGCCCACGGCGCCAGCTGGCAAAGGACGGTGTGCACAGGGCCACCGCAGTGTCGCAGCGCA